CACCAGGCTGAGATAGTTGAAGAATAAGAAAAATGAAAGGTGAAGAAATGCAGCAAATGTTGTTGGCGGCCACCAGAGCAGATGCAGATACGTTGTGGCGATACCAATCTGAAAAAAATCAACAAATTAATTTGATTTTACTGGTAACGATTCTCGGGATCCGACAGAAAGTACATATCAACGTAGTCTGAGGAGTACCAATTTGTCAAGTAGTGTAAAAACAAGACGGAATATAAGCCCTTGGTGTCAAAAAATCTGTCGACAGCACAAAAATAAGTCTTGGCGATAAAAATCTCGATGGCATTGTGATTAGTGGGCGATAAAGATAAGTCTCGACGGTATCTTGACCAGTGGGCGATAATGTAGTAATTATCATACATAATTTACACACAGAAAATTATGTGGTGTGGATTTAGTGCTATCAGACGTAGCACAGATGTGAAAAATCGAACTGCAAAAACTCAAGCACTATCTGGGGCGTCTCGGTACATTCTACTGCAAAATGCTTGAAAAGGAACGTACAATCAATGTTATGCCGATGGCAGTTAGCGGACCCCAATGGAGCAACCTCTGACGCATAGATTTCCCGAAATCATTCTCGCTGCCTCCAAAGCCATCATCCCAATCCGGTGCTTCGATTATCTGATCTAAAAATAGATAATTACGACCAAGTATAGAGTTTCAATAAATAGAATCGCCAGTTTGACTTGGTACAAGAATCAAAAAAACATTTGTTCGTGAAAATAAAGGTCGATAGAAAGTTCGAAAACTATATGTACGACTGCCTCACACCGACTAACTATTCTTGAAATACTGCCAAACACAACAGTGTTAAGGTTTATATGACTTAATGGACCGAAACGACTTATCTCATTTTTACCCTCTTTTTTCCTCATACTGTTCTTTCTTGCTGCAATCTATTGCGCCTTCGCCATTTGGGCTTCCAAGGTACTGTTTGCAATCTTTAAAATTTCTGCAACACTTACATTCAGCTACAGATGGTTTCACAAACTCGGTATCCTCATCAAATTCCTCCCGGATGCTTGTTCTTCGATGTCTTAATTCCATTCCGTCCTCCGAATTCC